TCGATAATGCAAAATAGGAAGAAAAGGTCCAAAAGGGTAGGGGTAGTGGGAGGGGCAGGGGAAAGGAAAGAAGGGAAAGGAAAAATGGTGAGAAATGGAAAAAATGGAAATAAAGTCTTTGTAAATAGGGAAAGGTGGAGGGCGTGAAGGGAGGGCTAGGAATGGGGAAAAAATAAGAACCTAGATACATCAAGTAAACGTACAAGTTCCCAATGAGAAATGTAATTGTGTTGTATACCTACAATGTACCAATAAAAGAATTTAAGAAAAAAAAAGTGAGCATGAAAGGTCAATGTTTTGAAGCCATTCAAGACATCAAGGCAGCCAGGAGAGTGCAACTAAAGGCACTCATGAAAGAGGACTTCCAGAACTGCTTCAGAAAGTGGCAAGAATGACAGCATAAATGTTTTTGAAGCTAGGGGGGATTAATGGTAATGTCTCTTTGAGTGCAAAAATTGTTATTTATTTATTTATTTTTGGTACCGGGGATTAAACTCGGGACCTTGCGCTCGCGAGGCAGGTGGCAGAACCACTGAGCTAAATCCCTGGTCTAAAAATTGTTTTTAAATGTAATCTTTCACCACAGTTTTTGATCACATTGCTTATATTTTGAATCTAGGATCCATTCCTAATCTCAGTGGATGCAGCAAATTTGAAGTTGAAATATTCTGACTTTAAATCATACACTGGAAACTGTATGAAATGCAAATTCTCCCAAATCCCAGGTGCTCTCACTACTTGCATCATCAACAGCTTAATAAAAACCCCTTCATGGTGGCCACTGTATGGTGTTTCCTTCTTTCCCCACAGTGGGTCCAGCATTCAGATTCTGAAAATCAGGGCTGCCCAGTCTTCCTACCTGGCTCTTAGGCAGGGCCGTGTCATGAATGGAAGCACTGGTAGATTCACAGGACCATTAGTGGATCTGTGGTCCTGCTGCTCTGGAGTTCACAATGGACCAGAGAAACTGTGTAACTAGTTCACAAAGGTTTTCCACCTTGTGTTGATAATTGAGCTCTCCTACTTAAGCAAACATTTTTTTTCTCCTTCCAGGTATGTAAGTGATTGGCTAATTTTCAGGATAAAATAATGCAACCTAGTAGAACTTAAATTACTCAGACAAAAACTGACTTTTTCCACTTCAGCAAATATGTATATGCCTTGAAGTTTAGAACACAGCCTTTGATACAGCGGAAAATGGCAACTGAGCCAGCAGTGTTGACGGCAGGGTGGCTTTTCCACAAGTTGGCAAATCCTGTGTCCTTTTGTACTAAGTCCCTGCACACGTTAGTTTCTGATATTTTTCTGAGCATTTTTAGATTTACTTACAAGCTTAGAAAGAATTCAATTCATTTTGTTTTTTAAATAATTTGGTGATAATAAATGTAACATGTTTATTGTAGGAAATTTCTTTAGTTTATAATAGTAAAAAAGACAAAGAAAAATCTTCACTCCGCTACCCAGTGAGAGCCCCTTTTAATATTTTTTGGTTTACTTTTTCTAGTTTGGTTTGTGAATAAAATTTAGCTCTATGTTTTTTCATATAATTTGTATCCATTTCTTCATTTCACGTGATTATAATAAAGACTTCTCATACCATTAGTCTTCAGAATATTAATGGTTATATAATATTTTATAATTTCATAATTTTTGTACCTTTATATTTTTTCCAAATTTCCACTGTTGATACTTTTATGTTAATTCTTTGATGCTGTACATAAAATCATTCTTTAGAATAGATTCCTAGAAGTAGAATAACTAGGTTAATGAGTATGAGTATCTTTAAGGATCTCTGTTAATGCCTTCCAGAAGTGTAAGCATTACTAATTCTCCTTTCTATAGAGGGTCATGATCTTGTATTTCCTTTGACTAATTGATCTTTGTGTCTTGAATCCACTGACTGCTATTAGCTTGTGGCCAGATGGGAAAAACTGTATCGTTATGAAGAACTTCAGGTAGTTGACTATGAAGTTGCCACATAGCATCAGAATATTCTTGATCTTTTCTCTGACTGCCACAATTGGACTCTTAAAGGGAGCCCATGGATGAGTATACAGAGAAAATAAGGCACAGAAAAGCAATTTTAGTGATCAAGATATGTATAAAGAGAAACTTCTTTAACTTGTAAATTTAATATGTGGAATATTTTATATCGTGTTCACTCTTGTGTCTATGGTAATTAGCCACATGCCTGGCACATAAATATTAATATTTGTATAATGAGTGGACATGTGTACAAATGAATGGGTGAATAGCAAATAACCTAATTTGACTTTGCTTAGATCTTGGCAACTATTTAGAAAGTATGAAAGGATATGTTACAGAACATAAAGAGTTGTGCTAAATGACTCTCATTTTAATGGTTGGAATGAGTAGTTGTTGGGTGCGATTTATGTGAATGTTTTCACAAATGAAAGCAATAGTTTAGAGAGATAGTGGGGAGTGGGCTGTCCTCATTATCCTTATTTAGTGTATTTTGTGTATCCTTATTTAATGTATTGGTGGAATGCTTTCAACAGTAGCTATTGGGATTAAAGTGTGTTCAAATGATCAATGAACCTAACTTGATGTATCTGTGCTTACTTTTTATCTGTAAAAGGGCTGAAAGGAACTACTATTTCCCAGATTTACATCACATGAAGTATGAAATTGAAGATGGCATTGTACCTAATGGCAAGATCCTTCGGTTTGGATTTGATTACCAGGAATTTCCTAGGTTCAGCTGGCGAGGCTATGCCCAAATGACTGCACTACAGGTACGTGGCAGGAAAGCCTTTCTCACACCCCTAACACCATCAGGGGGCCCCCAAAAGTAAACTGTCCCCAAAACTGATGCCACATTTTACTTTCTCCAGAGTGTAGATTGTGGTTAGAGGTGAGATTAGGCTTGGTGTTGGGGGTAGGATGAGATTTTAACTGATGAGCATACATGTGGATTTCACAATCTATTAATGCTTTAATTTGGTCACCAAACCAGAAAATGAAAAAGATTGAAGGAAATGATGTTTATCTCTGGAGCCTTTTTACAGGAAGAAGAAAGTTTCCTAAATAACATTAGTCTACATTATAACATAAGGGACATTTAAAAAATGCTATTTGTGGAAAATAAAAATAAGTTGGCTTAAATAATTCCAGTAAAGCTGCTAATGCTTGACTGTTGCTTTTATAAGCCCCGAATAACTATGTGAACTGAAAGGAAGATAAGTGATGGGTTTGAGTTAGTGCAATTGAACTTTTCTTTCCCATATTTCTTCTTCCTTTCATTCTTTTCTACTGTATTCATCTACCTTGGCTTTGCATTAAAGTAAGGAAATTTAAACATTGTTTACCTTTGGTACACAATATTTATACAAAAATCCTGTACCGTTGTTAAATAATTTTGTGCTCAGAATTTCTCTGAGGTTGGTCCCCTCCAGCTGTTTCTCACTGGAGAAATTCAGAGGAAGGGGGTAAACCAGTGAGCATGGTAACCCAACACCTATCCTTAGCAGATCCAGAACTAGTATAGTTGGTAGAGATACTGGGACTGGCCCATAGTTCTCCTGGAGTCCCCATTGATTCTAATGCTGCCTTTTGCCTCGTCAAATTCTCCCACCCAAGCTGCCTTTGCCGAATACCACAGGACCTTAAGACACCTTTGTCTTTTTTCTTTCCACCCCAACAATTTGGTTTCTTTAGTACCCTGACCTTACTTCATTATTCACAAAAACATAGTAGATTCTTTGAGTCAGAATAGCACGAGGATGTAATCAAGGTACAGACTCTTTCATAGGTGATTACCGTTTCTTTCAAAGACTAGCTGTTGACACCAGGAATGAATTTCTGAGGGTAGATCTTCTGAGGAAGGTGTCCCAGGAGTGACCACTTACTTTACTCTGCTTTTAGTACATTTTTGCATATTTGTTTCCCAACTTGGCACTGACATTGAAAGTTGAATTCAGTTCGTTGCTGGGGGGTTGAGGGAATTGCCTCAGTGTGGGTCACCTGCAGCTCTGGCTTCCAGAGCTTTTTACCCAAAGCTGGCCATTATTGTCTCCAATGTCTCACTCAACAGACGTCCCTTTCACTGGAACCACAGGAGCTGGGGGGACCATAGGGACTACCTACTTGGGAATTTCCGTGCTTCATGAACTTTCCTGGACCACAGCTGGATTTGGACATGTAGTCTGTGGTTCTGAATTAAAATTGTCTACTCTTTTCATCAGGACCATGGGCGCCACTCTGCTTAGTACTGTTGTAAGCCCCTGGGCATGGGGACCCTCAGGACCCTTCCTGTAGGCCAAAAAACTAACATTCTCCTTGGATAAGGGCTTGCGATAAAACTTCATAAATTGGTATATTTTTTTTATGTCCAGATTTTACCGCTGTGTTCAGGGTTCATGGTCTTTAACCATTTCTCAGCCACCACTGGTTTCTGTGAACATTTAGATAGCATGTATGTGAAGTGGATCTTGGAGTCATCTCTCTGTGGGGGAGGGGTGTATGCAACAATACACTTTTCTTTCCTACTCTTCTGCCTTTTTATTTTTTCCCTGCCAGTGGTGGTTGTCCCGTCACCATGGCTTTCTTAATCTAGCCCATCTAAAACTCCACTCTGTCTGCCTGGTTACAAAATGGTCAAAAGAGGATCCCAGTGGAGGGGAGTGCGTTTTCACTGTAACTTTCATTGTAAGTGATTTTGATTCATTGTCAGGCGTACCTGTTACCAAGCTTGGTGCTCGTTGTTGGTGTGTGAATGTGTGTGTGTGTGCATGCACACGCGCATGCATGTGCATGCACTACAAGTTCAGTGGTGAAACTTGAATAGAATAAAGTCACTTGTTAGCTAGCATTTCTTTTAACCAGTTTTCTTTTCCATACTTCATGGCTTTTGGTATTTTTCAGGATGAAGTAAAGGTGACGTTGGATGTGGGGAAGGCAGATCACTCCTTGTTTCAAATTATCCTGAGATATGTTAACCCTGGAACTGACGCAGTCTCTGGCCATATAACTATTTATCCAAACTTGACAAAGGAAGGTGGGTAAAATTTCAAGCCTCTTTTCAATTGGGAAATGATCAAGAAACAATTCCAGTGTTCATAAAGTTGATCACCATTAGAAAATGTTAAGCCTGGTACATGTTCTGATTAGACAGGTCTCTAGGTATGCTGTTACCTCTTCATTTTTTAAACTTTCTGCTTATTTAAATTCTGCATTAAATTATCATTAACCATCATTTAAAAAGTTGATATCACAGCTTTTTTCCCCTTTGCTGGACCCTTGGGTCATGACATTGTCAAGTGCTCGTCAACATTTCGGAGTTGAGAGAACTTGGCCTGGTGCCCTTACCTTCCCATCATTTAGTGCAGACCTAGTAGATCACAGAGAAGTGGACAGGAATTTTTAAGATGAAGGCTGTAAACACAAAGCCCAAGAGGGTTCCAGGAGGGATCTGTGAACCCACTGAGGGGTGAGGGGTTCCTAGGTGCAGCAGAAGAGAGAACAGCTTCCTCACAGGCAGAGACAAGGCCAAAAGTCTCCTCTGTAAGGGACTCGGGCTCCCTCTAGTCCTGGAAACAATCCAGGAAGTACTTGGAATCCCACAGGGACACAAGGTGGTGCTGATGAAAATCTAACTCAGGATCACCATGTAAGATCTTTGTTTAGTAGCCATGGCAACATTGGGTTTGGGGGAGAAATGACAGGATTCTCGAGCTGTGTCAACCCAGCTTGCGTGGGTGGAGGCTGATTAACTAATACCTGGCAGGAACCACTGGCAGGCTGACTTCCCCTGTGCAGGGTGCGTCAGCACCTGGGCTCCCGAGTGATGATGCTTTGTGGACTGCAGAGGGAACAGCTGAGAGGACTGGTGATCACCTGAGTGCGTGGCTGGTCTTTGTGGACAATGTCTTCAGACTCCAAACGTGTTCTAACAGAACCCTCTGCCCCCTGGGTGACACGGCCCCCAGCAGTCTTCCTCCTGTTAACTCACACCCTTGGAATATTTTTTGGGTTGTTTTCTCATCTTCCAGGACAGTGTTCTCCAAGCCTGGTCAGGAGCCCATTATATATTCCCCAGGTAACACAGGCCTACTCCTAAATACTGCTGTCCATGCTCCACCTTGGTCTCTTGTGTTCTAGTTTGATTTTTTTTTTTTTTTTTTTTGGTACTGGGGATTGAACTTGGGACCTTGCGCTTTCAAGGCAGGCGGAGGAATCACTGAGCTAACTCCCCGGCCCCCTGTTCTTGATTTTTGATTTTCCCCTGGTATTGGGGCTCAAATTTAGGCATGGCACCACGGAGCTACATCCTGGGCCCTCCTGTGTTCTAGTCTGTGTCCCTCAGTGCCCTGTCCCCATCATCCAGGAGCAAAGCTTGCTCTTCCTGCATTCACTGCCTTGTCCCCAGAACTCACTTCCCATCTAGCACATAGAGGGCCCCATTGATGTCTGCAGAACAAAAGGAAATGCAAGGGTGTGGAACGAGCATTTCTTTTCAAGAAAAAGTCTCAATTGGACCCAGCTGCAGGAGTTTTGTTTGTTTCTGGACTGTCTGCAGAAGGTCCTCCATTTGTTAACTGCAGAAAAAAACACATTGCATCCTGAAAACAAATAGAAAGCCAAAACATTTTAATTGTGAAATGAATGCATGCTCATTAATAAAAATAAGCATTTAAAAATCTCATATAAACAGAAAAAGAAAAAAATTTAATAGTATAATATATTGAACACATTCTATAACAGCTTATTAGGTATTATTTAATACATAACGTTTTTTTAAAATTTCTTATAATCATGGCATAGACAGCTACTGCTAACATCGTATCAGTATCTTTCTAGCCTATTTTATACATGTGAAAACGCAGATGTACAGGTTTAAGAAATAAGATCAGTAAATCTGATCAGTACCCATGATCAGCAAGCCACCTTAAACTTTTTCAGCTGTAAACTGAATGTTGAAAACGGAATTATCTAAAATCTTAACAGTAGCTGCTAGAAAGATGTGTTAAACAGTTCTTTGTCTGTCAAACAGGTGTTACTCAAAGCAAAGAGATCACTTTCCTGCCAAGTAAGCAGCCAGCCTTTGTGACCATCCCCGGAAATGGCCCTGCAGAACCGTTCTCAATGACACCGGGGACGTGGGTTGCTTTTATCAAGGCCAAAGGAATCCTCCTGGTAAGACAAGAGTCCAAATGGTGGGCTCTGCAGGATTTTTCTACCCAGAGATGGTCTCACCCAACATTGAGGCAGGAGAATTGCAAGTTTGAGCCCAGCTTGGGCAAGTGAACAACTTAGAGCCTGTTTTGAAATAAAAAGTTTTTAAAAGGGCAAAGAATGTAGCTCAGTGCAAAGGTCCCGAGTTCAATTTCTAGTATTTAAAAAGAATGAAAGAAAGAAAAAGAAGACCAGTCCTCACTCAGCAAAACCACCAAGTCTCTCCGTACCTTCCTCCCCGAGACATTCTCCCTGAGGGAACGCGCCTTATGGATCATGCGTGAGTCTCTTCACAGTTAAGCAAAGGACCCTTCCGCCTTCCCTCTGCAGATGTGTGGGGAGGCCTTGTATTGGGGGTTGGAGAAAGCTGTCAGATTATCCGGGTCTCAAGGCCCAGAGCAAGGCTCTTTCCTAAAGAGCTGCTGAGCAGAATCTACACCCTCGGGGGAACATGCTCTCTCATCACCTGGCTGGACGGGCAAGGCCCAGCTCATTGTGAGTCACCAATCCCACAAAATCTCCCTTTGATACCACATCCGGTGAGCGGTGCTCCACAGGGCAGCAATCGCATTGAGTGATGGTAGTGGTGAAAGCAGACAGCATCTCCAAGAACTTCCTATCAAAGGACAGCCGATCAGCTTTGGTAGTTTTAGGACTTAACAGACAAGCCAGAAAGACAGTAAAATTTTCCTGGGACCTGAAAAACACAAATGCTCTCTCTCAGCAGGTCGTCTCCAATGTGTACAGAGCCTTGAGGAGTCTCTGTGTGTTCTGATGAGTCAGGGTGACATGTAGGGGTTCACAGTGACTTCACGGGGCTGTTATTAACTCAGTATGTTTGATGATTTTATCACCAGGGTAGGGCTGCAAGCAAAGTGAGTAATTGTCCGGTGCTCTTCCTTTGCTAGGATTACCTGGTGCTGCTCCCCAGGGACTACTATGAAGCATCCGCACTTCGGCCCGTCGTCACAGAGCCATGTGGCTTCCAAGGGATTCCTCAGAAAAAGTTAGTATGGGGCAAAAAGTGCAGCCACAATGGTATGGGGCCTCTAAATTAGGAGCATTTCATGCAAGCCTTCATGGTAGCCCTCAAAGTCACAACTGCGGCAGGAGGCTCTGGATAATTATTGAATTGTGATTTTTCTTCTGGATCTTTCTTACTCTGTCCTTCAAGTATGAATGGCAAAGCACTTTGCACTCTGCAGCCTCTCGGGAGTGGTTAAATTAGCAGCATGTGGAAACATTGTTGCATGTCCTACTCATAGCCTTAAGGTCAAGGGGATGCATGGCGGGGTGGGGGGTTGCTTAAAATTGGATCCAGGTTTGTGGGTCTTTGTTTCTTCCCTTCCTGGTGCAGATGAAAAGTTACCACTCCATTTCTGCAGTAGGCACTGAAGAGTTTGGAGAAGCAATGGTGCATGGATGAGAATGATGAGAATGAACTGAACGATTGACAGCACTGATACTCTGTTGCAATACTTGTAACTATTGTATTTTGTTGTTGTTGAAGTTGCTTGCTTTACCAGCATTTGCCGGTGACCAGATTCTCCTGTTTTCTGGCTGAGAAAGCCAGTACCCTCCTGCCAAGTAATATACAGAAACCCCTGACCCTGAGGAAGCCCAGCCGGGCACACCCTCTCATGGTGGATCTCAGCGGACAAGAGGTAAGGACATGCTTTATCTCCAGTCCAGGCCTCTGCTCCCTTGCTGTCCATGACTGCTGACAGTGACTGCTGACAATGCTTCCTCACAGTGGTCTCTCAAATTCAGGGGCAGCTGGTAGGATTTCTCAGAGCTGTTAAAATCAGCCTCTGCTGAATCCTCTGATTGGGTTGGGGCTGGATGGTAGCCTGCACTGAGCTGGGGTAAGGTTGTTCCCTAGCAGGTTCCAGACAGCAGGGGAGCTGGGCGACCATAGAATCCTGTCCTTTTGGCCTCCTGGACCTCTAAGGGGCATCCTGTTCTACCTGTCGCAGGGCAGGATCTCTCTTAAGAGACAGATGAGACTCAGCCTTTACAAGGGCCCTCCAAAAACTTTGTGGCTGACCCTAAAAGATTGCACTACTCACTTGCTGTCTAGCCCTGTAGGCTAAGCAGTTACTGAGAGCTGAGCTCCTAGAGCTCAGAATCTGGAACTGCTACAGAGCAGGGCAGCCAGCCACGTGGTGGCCCTGAAGACGTGTGAGCAAGGATCTGGGCCTGGGTTTCCTTCCAGCAGTTCTGTGAGCCTCCTAACCCCAAGTGTAAGAATATCCCGATTTAAGATCTGGCTTCCAAGTGCAGATTATCAACAATAGGGCTGGGGATTTAGCTCAGTGGTTCTGCTGCCTGCCTCACAAGCGCAAGGACCTGAGTTTGATCCCTGGTACCAAAACAAAAACAAAAACAGATTATCAACAATAACAGCAAGAACACACAACACTTCAAAATGGAAACCCTGAAAAACACTTCCTCTACTTTATTTTCATTGTTTTCATTCTAGAACATTCTCTGGGTTGTTACGTTTGAAAAAATGTTCCCTTGGGGGATAAACTATGGGAAATGAAGATACAGTGACTTTAATCCTCCCTGAACATTTAGTTGTGTGCATTTTTTTTAGCTACAATCCTAACATTTTGAAGGTAGTAGCTAAAGTTATTAAGTGTATTTCTTAAATATAGTTTTCATTTCCTTTTGTTAGAATTTTTATTTTTACAAAATAATATATGCTTGTCATATCAAGTAAAACAATGTAATATTTAGTTTGCTTTTTTTTTTTGGTACCAGGGATTGAACTCGGGCCCTTGCACTTGCAAGGCAGGCAGCAGAACCACAGAGCTAAATCCCCAGCCCTACAATGTAATATTTAAAAAGAAAAAAATCTTTCCTTTACTGCATTCTAAAATTAAATTTACCATATCCCTCCCTACCCATACTGTATCCATACATATAGTATAACTACACACATACGCATATATACATATGTGTGTGTGTTTGTATGTGTCTTAGGATATCCATTTTTTTGCAGGTTCATTTTTACTGTTTTGTCTCAATGCCCACAGGCCTGTGCAGTCCAATACAGTATCTTCTAGCCCCTTGCACATATAATAAACTTAATTAGACTTCCATCTACTGTATATAAAAATTCAGTTCCTCAGTTGTGCTAGCCACATTTCAAGGTCTCAACAATTAGCTATGTTTAGTAGCCATCCTACGGGGCAGAGCAGATCATAGAATATTTTCATCGTTGCAGAAATGTCTATGGACAGCACTGTTACAGATTATTATGGTGAAATTCAAAGACTTACAGAGGTAAAATAGCTCTTGAAAATCATGATTTCCCTTTCAGTGAAGACTTTTTAATATTTTGCTTGTTAGATTCATTTACCCTCTGTATATGAAACAAATGAATTTTGTGTTTAGACTTGAGTCCTATCCCCAATATATCTCATTATGTATCTGTAAATATTGCACAATCTGCCAAAAATGCAAATCTGAAACACCCTCAGTCCCAAGCATTTTGGATATGGGATAGGCGACCTGTATTGTCATGTTTCATAAGCATCTCCAGAGTAGCTTCCTGATTAGCCCACCCACATCTGCTCCTGCCCGCTGTGTCTCCCTATTCACCCTCCATGCTCAGCCAGGGAGTTTATTCTGATGCAAATATTTGATCATCACCCCCCACACAATTAGAACATTACAATAATGTCTCGTTCTTCTTGGAATAGAGACCAGAATTTCACCCTGTCTTTTATGGCTGGCCTTTCTCCCTCCCTGTGGTATCCTGCCACCCCTTGCTCGCTGCTCCTTGGGCATCCGTCTCCCTTCAATCTCCGTGTGACTGTCCTACTGCCAGCTGTTCCCTCTGCCCGAATCCTCTTCCCTCCCCTGGGGCCTGGTCATCTGCTCTTCGTCCCCCCACTCTTGCCCACCTCATTCCTCCTTCGGGGAAGCCTTCCCCTCTCCCACATCTCCTTGAAAAGTGCAGGTTGCTGTTCCACACACTTCCATTGCACCTCTTCAGCGCATTTATCACTTGTGTAATTTGACATTGGAGTTGTCTTGTTGTGGAATTATCTGTCTAAAGTTTGACCAAGGGCAGAGACCCTGTTTCCTGAGATACACCCATCACCTGGGCCAGAGCAGGCACACAATGCTTGTTGATCGGATTGTTGGAATCCCCATTTTAACACCAGGCATGTTAGTTACACACATAGCTTTGCATGAACCCTCCCTCTCCGTCATTATCTTAAAGCGCTGATAATCAGGCGAAGGCAGTCGGTGCCACAAAATCAGTTTGACATTAGCTGCATTCAAGTTCCCTTTTAAATGGATAACTGCAAATAGCAAATGTAAAGTTTCTGTTTGTCACTTTAGTGTCTTTTATCTGAGTTCCTCAAAACCTGCTTTTATCATCGAATGTATTTTAGACTCTTCCAACAAGTCTTCCAGAAAATCAATCCACAGGACCGAGAGTAAGGAGTATAGGAGACATTTATAATAGAGTGCTGTGCTACAGCCTGAGTCCATAATAACTTCTGGGGAAAGCGCTGATGAATCACTGACCCCCAGATGGGTGTCGTGTGTGGGGGTAAGGACAGACGTGCTTCTGCTCCGAGATGCCGAGGGGCGAGAAGCAGGTGACGACCTCGCCACACAGGCTGGTGCAATGCTGTTCCTGACTATCGCAGTCAGAAGCGGTGTGGAAAATCCACACTCTTCCCCTGAGGGAAGGGTCTTTTTATTATTTTAGTGGTAGAAAAATCACTGGAAAATAACAGCGGTGTGGCTCAGAGCTGTTGAGAAAGTAGCAAGTATGAATCTCCTGAAGGCATGGAGAAGGAGGAGCATTTTCATCAAGTGTGGTAAAGATGGCTGAGGTGCGTCCCTCTGCTAAGGAGTATAATTCTGGTGTTGCCTCAGGCATTAATTTAAACCACAACTTTGCTTCTAGGCGTCTTACAGAAAGACTAGCATAAGGATATAGCGATGGTGACGTAACATTGTATAGTGTAGGGAAAATTAGAGGAACTTTAAGGGTCCGTCAGTAGAATATTAGGTAAGTAGTTTTATATTCACATTATAGAATGGGTGGCATCAGCCATTTTAATGAAGCTTCTGTCTGTGGACTGATAAAGGCATATAACATATAGTTGAGTAAAAAAATGTCATGGCCAGAAGTAATAATCACAATTATCAATGTCTCTATAGTGCTTATGACACAGCAACATATAGCTCTTAAAGCCCTACATGTATTATTCATTTAACCCTCATAACCACCTGCGGAGATGGGGTATCTTGTTGTCATCCTCTTACACATCAGGACACTGACACCTTCGGGTGTTAAGCATGAGCCCTGGGTCACACACCTGGAGGCAGTCTGACTCTAGACCCTGCCTCCTAACCAACAAGCGGCAGAGTGAAGAGTGTACTTGTTCTGCAAAGGGCCGGACAGTGAATAATTTCCATTTTTCAGGGCATATGGTCTTTGTCACTGTAGTCCAAAAGCATCCTCACTTGCCTCCTATGATCAGTTTTTCTTAAAAATTGTGCATACACAGCCAAAGGTTTGAAGGTATAAGAACCAAGCTATCAACAATTCTTATCCAAGAGCAGAGTATGTGGGTGTCACTTTTATATTATTTTCATTCAGATAATTGGAAATTTCTTTTTTCCACATTTTTATTAGTGTATCAGTTGGATTGTACACGCATATCATCACCTCTCTTGCACCACATTCTCCCCTAGTTTCACATTTTGGAATTTCTTTTTAATTAAAATAAGTTAAAGAACGCACGGTTGCATTCCTCTTACTATCTGTCAGCAATTCCTTCTACTCCAAGCTTGGGAGTGCCAGGACTATGAGAAACAAGGGGTGGAAACATTGCTGGGTAGGAGTGGGAGCCCCTCTAAGTAGAACTGCTAGAATTAGAAAAGAAAAATACAAGATGCCCTGGTAGATTTGAAATTCATATAAAAAGCAAACACTTATTCATTCTTTATCTGGACTTCAATTTTAATGGGGCTTCCTGCACTTTCTCCCCACCTCCCTCCCTAAAGGGCGATGCTGACATGGAAAACACCTCCAGGATGGCTTCTCTGTTTTTATCACTGTGTCCGTTAGTAGGTCGGTGCATTTAGCATCATGGTGACAGTCCGTTCGTCTCTCTGGCAGGTGGAGCTGCATCTGCTGCTGCGCGTCCCACAGGCCGGCCACTATGCCATCTTGCTGGAGTACACCACCGAGACCAAAAACATGTTTGTGCTTGATGTGACTTTGAGGAGCTGGACGGACCTGGCAGGCCGAGTGAACATATACAGCTGCAAGTACAGGTGACCAGCCCCACCGCAGAGTCTGGTTTTTCGTTGCATTGGGATCTTGATTTCTTTTTTGAGGTAGATCTTGAAAGCAAGCAGAGACTGTGGCCTGATCCAAGGGCAACTCCAGAGGAGATATGTGGAATCCAAGTTGAAAATAATGCATCTTCTTAAAAAGCTGCATGCTCTACCTAGCAGTTTGGTTTAGATCCACACAAAGTTACACATCTTCTTTGTTTGATTCTCTGTCTCTCTGGCGTGCTAGAATGAGCTCAAGAGTTCTCACCTCAAGGGCATGAGTGCTTGGCAAAGGGAACAGCTCGCTTCTCAGCAATGTTAGGAGTCTTCGCACACACCTTCAGAACAGGCGATAGCTATATCTGATGATTGCTAGGTGAGAAATAGTCGACAAAGGACTTTAAAATTCGCCCCAGTGAAGTCTCTGAGAGCACTCATTGAGAGTGATTTGTTAAAAATACACATTATTTCAAGGATGTGCTTTAATGAAAAGATGACTGCAGTGTGTTTCCACGTGATTTCGGAATGAACAGCAGTGGAGGTCCGCATGCCTTGAAACAGCAGGAAGAGCAAACCTGTCCAGTTCTCAGCCCAGGCTTTGAACAGTACATTGCCTCCACTTTAGTGTTGCTTTTTAAAAAACCAAGATGGCCTAAAGTAGTTGGACATCTTTCCTGATGTGAAAATGGAAGAACTTGTGTAGAGTGGGCTAGAAGAGACAGTTACTGGACTCGATGAAATGACTACGGAATTAACATCTTGCCCTCAGCAATCCTAAAAAAATGCAGCTGGGGAGGCTTTATCTCTGGGTTGAAGAAAAAGAATTTAAAAATGTGATACTGTGTGTGTCTGTGTATGTGTGTCTGTGGTGCTGGGGATTGAACCCAGGGCTTTGCATGAGCCACTGAGCTATGTCTCCAGCTCTGGATTTGAATTTTTAGCAGGAGATGAGCCTAAAATAATTCCCCTAGAATGTTTAGTTATTATTTGAAAATGCCAGGTGTATCACAGGAGGCATCTGCACCACTGGAATGTGCGCTCCCATCTCCCCCATGAGGACCATGGGGGCCATGAGCCACAGGGCTTGGGCAGGGCTTCTCCACATCTATCCACCCAAACCCACCCTCCAGTTCAGTCCTACCCCATCCACCTTCCAGATCATGTGGCCTGATTCCTGATTCACAGGACCCCAAGGAGAGGTGGCTGAGGGGACAGCAGGAAATATTCACAGTGACCCCGATGACTCTGAATCACCTGTAAGAGCTCTGAGACTACCCATGCTGACAGGGGTCTCGAAGCCATCCTTCCAGGGTCCCATGAGGGCTTTCATAACTTTGTCTGGATGGACTCAGGGAGGGGGATCATCTCGACACCCTGCCAATCCCAGGCCCTACTCATGGCAGCACCAAAGTTTGTTTTCCAAGTCTCTGTCATGAGGGTTCCCAGTGCTTGGTATTTAACTGCTTCCAAGAAAGTCCAGTTGTGGTTTTTTCACTTGGCTAAAATATTTCCCTTTTTCACTACCTCGCCTGTCCTGTGGACAAGTAAATGTGGACAGCCACAAGAATGAGATCCCAAAATACGGTGCTAAGGGGAATATGTGACCCAGAAAAACCTATTTCACATGTCAGGCCCGTTCAACATGCAGTATCTCCTGTGAGGTTTGAACTTTCCCCAGCATTTCACAAGTGAAATCTAACTATGTTGTTCAAAAGACACTATCCTAGTAGAACAGCAGTGCTGCTGACAAGAGCAGCAGTTTTCAAAATAGTGCTGTGATGAATGAAGTCTGCCCTCCACAGACAGGTGATCATTAATGAGTAAATCAATCCTGTTATTACCATAAGTCTATTTCCTAGTGAGAATTTAATAAAGGTTAAGGATAAAACTAAATTTAAATGAATCACTTAATGTACTTAACTCCCAAGATTATGCCTGAATCTAAAGGGCATGTGGTTTAATTCACACACACACACACACACACACACACACAGCAAAGGGAGTGACCATTAAGTTCCTAATGTATTCACAAACTCTGCTTGGCTCTTTGTATAGTTTATCTCATTTTGATCCTCACCAGAAAAGTCATTGCCTATATTACTATTTTTATGTATGTATGTATGTATGCATGCATGCATGGGCTTATTTATTTATTCATTTATTTAATTTAGAGGTACAATATTAGAGACTGAGACAGGAACTTACTAAATTTCTAAGTTGTTCAGACTAGGCTCAAACTTGTAATCCTCCTGTCTCAGCCTCCCAGAGTGCTAGGATTACAGGGGTGCACCACTACCGAACCAGACATGCCCATTTTGTTTTAATACTCACTAGTTCCATATTATATTTACAGGCAGAAAGTAGCTACAGAGTGTGGAATCAGAAACATTTCTGAAAAAAATACTTCCTTTATGGGTTTTGCTATTGGAGTTGTGTGCTTTGGTGCCAAAGTGTGACCTTTTAAATGTTCCTGAACTCTGCAGCTCACTTGATGGGTGCTGGGAAGGGAAACCTGAGTGAGATATGAGGAGGAAGGAGGAGAGGAACAGCTGGGTTTCCTCATATTGAGTGAGGGCAGCGGTGCTCACTGACTGGGCCTGGGAGGGGCGCTGGTGGGCACCTTTCATTGTAAATGATCCTGAGCTTATTGGGAAATTTCCAAGCAGGCTCTGTGTGCAAGATGTGCTCTCTGCCCGGGCTCTGCCCCCAGTGACTGAACCAAGTTCTGTTTTCTGTTAAGCTGGGTGGAAAAGCTGAGTGGGCCTTTAGCACTGGAAGGTTCTTTTCCTTGTAGATAGTGTGGACAGTTCTTAGTCCATGCTGCTAGAACAAAATGTCGTAGACTGGGGAGTTTTATATAGAGAAGACAGTTATTGGGTTGAGGGTACAGATCTTACCTGCCCATATGCCAGGACCTCAGTTCCATCCACAACACCTCAAAAAAATTTTGTTTTTCCTTTTTTATGCTTCTGCAGGCTGAGAAGTTTGAGAGCATGGTGCTGGCTTCTGGCGAGAACCTTCGTGCGCAAGGGAGCCTGCTTTTATAACAAAGCCACTCCCGTGATAACTAACCCACTCCCATGATAGCAAGGTTAATCCCTTCAGGAGGGCTAGTCACCCCTTCAGGATCACTGTGGCAATGAAATTTCAAAATGAATTTTGGCTGAGCCTGTAATCTCCGCATTTGAGAGGCTGAGGCAGGAGGATTGTCCAGCCTGGGCTACATAGTGAGTTCAAGGACCAGGATGTAGCTCAGCCATGCAATGGTAATCAGGAGCCCCTGATTTCAATTTCCGGTATCAAAAAGGAAAAAAGACCATAGTGAGCTCAAGGCCAGCCTGGAATACATAGCGAGACCCTGTCTCAAAGCAGAACAAAAAAACTAACAACAGCAAAAAAAGTCTTGGAAAGAACATTCACATCAAAGCAGGCTGCAGCCCTCTTGAATTTCTCACGCAGGAAAATTTGTTCTAGTTCATCTAGTTATCAGCAGGAAAAACTGAAGAGCAGCCAACTGCTGCACAAGTGAAGGAGCCTGCGGGGTTCGGGCTAAGGAAACCCTGTCCCCTCTTGCAGCACCCTCTGTCGGAGCGCCGTGATTGATGGCCACAGGCGCATCGCTGTGTACGAGCTGTCCAGGGACACGAACATTCAGCTCACGCTGCACGAGGCCCGGTTCCTCCTGGTACGCTTCTGCTTTGCCAGTGAACTTTAGGGCCCTGTGTTGACGTCTGTGTTTTTAAAAAGCTTTGTGCAATTTCTGCCGGGATTGCATGACATCTATAAAATACTCCAGTGAAGAACTGCCAGTTTCATGCTTATCCTTCCCGGCGAGAGCTTCACTCGTTTCCTCGTCTTCTTGAGCCTTTTTTATGTCACCCAATAGAAAGTCTCATCACGAAATGTGAACACGCCTCACAAAATCTCATTTCATTAATTTTTATTTGTGAATGAAATGTTCTTTGTCATTATAGTTCCTGCTAAATGATGGCCAAATGACAGAAATGCCACTGTTTATTGTTTATTTCCTTTCCCATTTTATTGTCTTAGTATCTCTTCTTTAGCTTCTTAGCAAATTGCATCAAAACTTTAAAGTTCATAATCAGCTAGGTGTTTTAAAAGTAACTATTTCTAAAAGAGAATCATTCTGCTAAGTGCCTATATTAAGAGTTAAAATAACATCTGAGGCAGAGTAAACGACCTTCTTGTCCACTGCTGTAATGGTACAACTCGAACCTTGAGTCACGACAGAGACAGTGGGGTCTGCATAGGAAGGGTGGCCAGATGTGTAATAAACATCTCTGGAAATACAAGACCATCTCAGTGTGAAGCAGCTTCCTGTTACTAATAGTATTAAGCATGTATCATACCTTGGGAAATGCCAGGCCAGCCTGTAAGAATGAATATGCTTTAGGTATTTCTGCCCACTAATACTAAAAACTTGGAACTTAAGGAATAGCTGGAATTCAGTTCTTAAAAATTATTATAAATAAGGCATTTTAAAAACCAAATAATCCAAGTAAGTGTGACCTCTTTATCTTTGGAAATTATCTTGGAGCTGATTCTTCATCTTTTAAGCTTAGATTTGACCTTTTCAAAGATAGCTCAACAAAGAAGCTGAGACAGGAGGGTCCTTGTGAGTTTTAGGCCAGTCTGGGCCACATAGTGAGTTCAAGGCCAGCCTGACCTACACAATGAGACCCTGTCTCAAAAAAGCTGAAGTAAATAAATGAATGAGTAGTCCAACATCATTTGGGAGCAGGACTGGCTAGAAGAGACTCTCCATGGAGGCAGATGCATTGTCCATCTTTGGCCCCACAGGACCCCAAGTCCCAGTGGAGTTCAATAAAATTTAGTTGTTACTGAATAGTCTCGCAATGAAGCTGGTCACATACAGTTGTGATTTCAGGTGAAATATGATAATAAATTAAGGACCAAGTTCCTGAGTGACTCAAAAACTAGCTCTGGACACGGAGCCTTCAGTAGGGTCTGTGGGCACCTGAGGCACGAGCCACCTTTTTTTGAGAAGGGTTGATCTACCAGGAGCAGCCCTGTCAGGGTAGCAGACTCTCCGCTGCCACCCCAGCCCCTCTTTTCCTGCCCAGGGGTCTCAGAGCTAGCACAGCCCCAGGCAGAAGAGAAAAACCAGGCTCCCAAGTCACTGAAAAGAGTTGTTTTTGAACTTTCATATGATTCTCAGTTTTGTTCATAAAATTATTCCCACATCAGTCTAGAGTGTGATCCTGTGTAAGAGTGAAAAGGATTTGTTGCCCAAGGACTTGCCTTCTTGTAATATTTACTGCCTCAACAGACTGCCTCTAATTTTTTGGATGAATTCTTTACTTAGCAGCTTTCTTAAAAAGAATGTGTTTGACTATACCATTGGTTTGGCTGATGACTGCAATATGCCTTTTTGTATTAATGTGCTCAACAGTATCGGATTTGTGTCATTCCCATCGAAGAGTTCTCAGCTGAGTATCTGAGGCCTCAAGTCCACTGCATCGCCAGCCACAGGGTGTTTGCTAATCAGAGGTAACATGTGTCCTTCCTTTCTCCTGTTGATGTTCTGAATGATGCTGTAATGATTATAAGGCTGACATTTCATACACATTGAATATCGCTTATCCAAAATGTTTGGGACCAGAAATATTTCAAATTTCACTTTTTTTTAAATTTGGGGGCATTTGTATATTTGTAATGAGATACCTTAGAGGTAAAATCTAATTCTAAAAATTAAATTCATTTTTGTTTCATATGTACTTTACATGTATGACCTGAAGGTACTTTTATCCAGCCTTTTTAGTGTACCTCTGGCCTATTACATGTGTGTAGAATTTTCTGCTTACAGCAAAATGTCCAGCGCTCAAGAAGTCTCAGGTTTTGGAGCCTTTCAGATTTGGGCTTTTGGATTAGGAGCCCAATTGGTACTTACTTTCCGAAGTGATCATAAGCCAAGGTGTTAAAGTCTAGGGATAGAGTTAAAAAAGAGAAACCAGCTAAATAATTTTCCCAGCAGCCAGTGTTTCCAGGATTCCATAACACAGACTGAGTGACCACGACGGAAATCGTTAAGCCGAGCTCTTGAGGGCAGGGTCCTGGGTTCTATCCTGGGCCCTCATTTTTTTTCAATCCTTTAATCTGTGTCTGAGGCTCTTTCCTTGAAAAACAACACACACAAAAACCCAAAAAAATGGTGACCTGTCTCACATCTATGTGTTTAGGATTATCTAACTAATGCCTATTGGGGATTTAGTAGGGGTTTTTTTTTATAGTCGAAAATAATTTACAGATGCGGTCATGAAATCTCAAGAGCACGGTTAAGACTGGAAACCTCCAAGACAATGCACACCTGGCCGCGCCTAAGAGAAATGATGTGGGCTTGTTTCTCCTGTCCTTATGTCAGCATTTATGTAGAGACCAATAGTGTTTTTGTTTTGTTTTTTTTTTTTGGTACCGGGGATTGAACTTGGGTCCTTGTGCTTGTGAGGCAAGCGGCGGAACCACTGAGCTAAATCCCCAGCCCGACCAATAGTATTTTAGTGCACTTATCTCATTCTAATTTTAGTTTGGGCAAGGGAAGTTTCAGGAAGTTCCTATCTAGCTTATTGTACTTCAAAATTAAGATTTTCTTGGGGCTGAGGATGTAGCTCAGTGGTAGAGCTCTTGCCTAGCATATGTGAGATCCTGGGTTCAATCTCCACTACCAACAAAACAAAATTCAGATTTTCTTTCTGTTGCAATTAGTTGTATTGAGTGGGCAGCTGGAATACACTTGGCAAACAGACTACCCTGAGATTTACTACATAAAGCTCTCCAGTGGGCTGGCAGTGTGGTCAGCGGCAAAGGACTTGCCTAGCATGTGTGAGCCCCTGGGTTTGATCCCCAGCACCACACACACCAACCAACAAGTGAAAAAGATAATAAAAGAGAAACCTGTGCAGCGTCCTGTGGTTCCCCCAGCATGGGAACCCTTCCCTGCTCCCTCTGTCCAATGTTCAAAGTCTACCTCTCTGCTGCCAGACTGTTCTGCAGGCTTCGGCTATTGTGAAATCGATTTTTAAATATTGTATTTTTCAGCCACACCTGTGTCTCCCAGGCCTACGAGACTCCTCCAACAGCCTTAATTTTGAATATGCCCAAGGGGTATCTCCTTCCTTCTGCAGACGGTGTTCTTGGATTCACTTTGCAGGCACCACAGGTAGGATTCTCCCAGGTTGGGCTGTGTCTAGACCAGGGGTTCTCGAAGTGTGGCCCCAGCCAGCAGCATTCAGGAACCTGGGATCTTGTTTCAAAGGCACCTGTGCGTGCTCTGCCCCAAACCTCCTGTATCAGAAGCTCTGGGGCAGGGCCCAGCAGTCTGCGTTTTAACAAGCCCATGATTTGATGGCCCTAAAGGCTGAGGATTTCTGCTTTTGGTTATAGGGAATCCCAGAAATGCATGTGACTGGTTAAAACTGACAGTGACCAGCCAGCCTGACTGCCTTTTTCCTCCTGGCCTCTGTCCACGTAGTTCTTTGTGCTTTCACACAGCCTGTGTTCCCATTCGCCCATGTTGTGGTTTATCTTTCTTTCATGGGCTGTTGCCGTTCGGCGTTGTTGAATTTATTAGTTCTCTTCCTGGGTTGGGTTGTTAGGACTGTTAGAATGGCTGCTGTTTTATGTGACCCCCCACCACATCAGCACAGCGCTTTGCAGGTAGGAAATTGTTGATAAACACTTACTTATTAATCTTCTAGAGCACAGATGTGAAATAGAACCAGGCAATACATTTTTAACCATAAGCTATAAAATTACAGGATGTTTAAAATTCCAGACTATGGAAATGTACCTTACGTTCCGATTTTACTGTGTCTCGTCATCCCAAAGATGGCTGCGTCAGTTCACAGAGCAGAGATTTGGAAATTAACAGGACCTGAGAGATGCATTTAAATAAGATCCCATAGGAGAAATGTAGCTTCGTAATAGGGGAAAGAGGGTTGAAAGCAGGCCAGTGGAGTTTCCATCCTCGCTTTATCGTTTAATTAACATATGATCTCCAGTGAGTTAGTTACCCTCCCTGTGTGGTGGTGCCTCTCTCTGACTATGAGAAAGACCTTTCGTTGTGTTGCTGCTGCTGAAGATTTTGGAGGATTCAGGACTTACTGGACACACGATTGAGGCTTTCTGGGGAGAGCAGGGCTCACATTCACGCGTTAGCAAGAGGAGGAGTGTTCTGACTGATTTTACTGAGGTGAGTGTTGTGAGCCAGCGGTCCTGGGCAAGGCTGCCTCTCCCATGCGCTAGAATTTGTGTGATTTGTACTCCACCTACGCCAAGAGAGGGAGGATGGCACAGCACAGGCACCAGATGGGGCCGTTTGACCTTGAACTTCCCAGCTTATCCAGGACTGAGGCAAAAGGCACCAGGAAGTAGTGGAGCATGAAAGCTGTCAGTGGTCAAACATCCAAAATGGAGTCAGACTGTGTATTCTGTGGGTGTAAGGAGTGGCCCTGCATGACATTCTCATCCAGCCATTTGGCAAACCTGTTATGCATTTCTATTGGGTACAAACCCAGGCACACAGCTGCTGGGTTATGTGTTTAACTTTGGTAAATACTGCTGAAGAATATTCCAGTGTGATTTACCTAATTACGGCCCCTTCGGTGGTACCACAATTTGTCCATTGTGTAGGTGAGAGATGTCTGGTTTGTTTCCAGGTTTTGTATTTACACATAAAAAAGCTGCTCAGGCATTCACAGGAAGTTTCCTGTGGGGATGGATAGAGGTTGTCCTCTCACTTGGGTGAGCACTTAGGTTGTTCTGGTCTTTAAGCTCTGGCTTAGTTGATTCCTATTGCTATAGCGGAGTACCCCAACTGGGTGATCTGTGATGAGAGGTTGATTTGGTTCAGGGTTCTGGAGGCCGCCAAATTCAAGGCTGGGTGGTCCCAGTGGTGAGGGCCTCATGCAGGGTCACTGTGAGGCAGAAGGCACCGTGTGGCAGGAGCAGATGTGACAGTGACAAGTGGGCACCTGTGGGAGAGAAGGGGACTGATAGGGTAACAGCTCACTCTCAAAGTAACTAACCCCAGGCCGTGAGAGCAAGAACCCACTTCTAGAGGATGGCGTTCCGCTCCGCCCCAGAGCTCTGTCCCCGCGAGCTGAATCCCTCCCGACGCTGCCCCACGGAGAGATGAAGTCTCACCATGGGTTTTGATGAGTACGAAACATACCCAAACCATAACGACTTCTACTTGTTCTGATCACAGCATTCACAGCTCTTCAGTTGAAGGATTCTTGCTTTTCTTCTCCCTCTTTTTCCCTTGTAGTACCAAGTGACCCTGAGAGGAGTCACACCACAGCAGGGCCCATACGTCTTCATCGCCCACTTTTACCAAGCAGCACACCCCCCGTTTCCAGTGCATGTGTCTGTGGATGGAGGGAAACGCTGGATAGGTAAGCAGCCGCGAGCAGGCGCAACGCGTACCCGGCGGCGTCCCTGCAGTCTTGAGACGGGAACTCTTCTCTCCCTGCCCAGGTTCCTTCCAAGCTGCCTTTTGCCCCCATGTGCTTGGCTGCCAGGAAGAAGTGATCACCCAAGGCCAGGTTGAGTTTGACAACCCGAATTCCGAGGTGGCCGTGACCGTGAAGGTTCCCAAAGACAAGTCCTTGGTGCTGGTGCGTTCTGCCCGTCCCTCGCTTGCTGCCCACGCGCTGCCTTGGCTGGCTATCCTGTGTGTCTGTCTGCCCATGCAGTCATTTCCCCAAGGAGCTGGAGTCGTATTTATGAGACAGTGCTCACATTTGACAGCTTTTACTCCAGCAGAAAAAAAGCACGTGACTAGCAGAATCAAGGGAAATGGGAATGATGCCAGCTTCTCATCTACTGGTCTCTCTCCACAGGATCTTACGCTCCTTTTGTCTTCTAAGGGTGCTTTCCCTCCAACCTTGCTGTCTCTCCCTCATCCCTGTGTATTGTCGTTGTCTCAGGCTCCACGCTGAGCCCGCTGTGGCACTCCTCTTTGGATACCATCACCCGTGCCTGTCGATTCTGCTCTGCCCTGTGGGAATGGCACCCACATCTCTAAAGTTGCCCCTGACCCTTCCTGAGGACTGGGGAACCTTTCCCAGGCCCTGCCCTGTGGCCTCCCGTGCTCAGCTCTTGCCTCCTCCCCTCTCCAAGGATGCCACGCCCCAGGGACAGAGCTGACTGTGATCCGTAGGAACATTTGAAATCTCCTACAGCATTTGTCAGAGGCATGGTCTGATCTGTACAGGTGCAGAGGGCTGAGTACTTTTAAAGACTGGGGCTACAAATGCTCATTCTTGAGCACTAAGCAAACTTCTGCAGCGGCCATGGTCTTAGGTTCCACTTTAGTTCTGCCACTTCTGTTTGTTTAGCTCTCACAATACAGAGCAGCAATCCCTGGAGCCCTGGGGGAATCCTAGGCCCAGGTTCCTTGGGGCCCTGATCCCCCCAACAGCCCCTGCGCCCCCACACTCTCAGAGCAGCAGCATCTGAGGCTGCTGTTGGTCCGTGCAGGTGCTCGGAGGGGTCTGTTCAGGCTCACTGTTCCTAGTAACGGGAATGGCGCCTTTCACCCGGCCACAGGTTTGCTCCTGTGGTTCATTTTTTGATAAATCCCATTTCACCTGGCCTTGGACTTAGATAAAGGACGCTAGTCTTGTTGCAAATCCAAATACCCATTGATGGGTTTCTCTTAGGTCCGAGTTCTAGTGGTGTCTGCGGAGAATTACAACCACCAAATCATACTTCAGAAAACATTCCTGGACAAGTCCCCTGAGTTTATCACCAATTGTGGAAAAAACAGCTTTTACCTCAAGTAAGTGTCACTTTATGAGGAAGCACTGGGGCACACTCACATTCCCAGCCAGAGAGGGAGAGGTGGCCTTGGATCTAATCCCGCCTCTCAACGCCCAAGGAAGCAGCCCAGAGTCTGGGGTCCAAGGAAGGCGGTGGTCTCAACTTTAACTCAGTGGAGATTCACCCCCTGAGCTACTTCCTCTTTGCTGCTTCCTGTTTGCTCCTGCTGATTCCTAACAGATGCCACACAGGCTTCCGTGCTGCACTCCCCTCTGCCTGCACCAAGCAGGGCAAGTCCAGACCTGCGCCTTCTCGGGCTAGAGCTGGAGAGCCCGCCCGAGAATGAGCTCTTCTGTGTCCGTGTAGTTTCCCAGGAGCCCCAGGGACCCGGAGATGGATGCTTCCTACGGTGATACTAAAAGCAAAGGCTCTGAGGCCATGCAGCTATGGATTTGCCTGACTGCTCGGCCATGCCATACTCTCAGCCTTGGGACTGCCACATACTTTTGGGAGCCTCAGTCACCTTATCTGTGAAGTGGGGCTTAGGTCTAATTGGCTGGGTGGCTGTGAGGTTGAATGAGATGCAGCCAGAGCTCCCGGTATACAACATTGAGTAGGTGCTGGTGAAGCCAGGCACGTGCCTGTAATCCCAGCACTGGGAGGCTGAGGCAGGAGGTTCACAAGTTCAAGCCCAGTTTGGGCAATTTAGCCACTTAGCAAGACTCTGTCTCAAAATTTTAAGGGGATGTAGCTCAGTGTGAAGGCCCTGGGTACAATCCCCAGTACTATAAAGACAAAAACGAAACCTCCTGATTATCTTTTCATTATTCCTAAGTAACAGCATTGCTGAGATACAGCTCACACACCATCTAGTTCATCCCATGGTGTATTTTCCTTCTTTGACTCCAGCTACCTAACGTTCCTGCTGACCATCCCTGGGCTATCTTCTCCTAAATTGGATAATTGGGAGAAAGAGTGACTGTCACCAACTGAGTCCCCTTTCTCCCCAGACTCCGGAGCCCAGAGTCCCTGTTTGGTGGAGCAAGTGGGAAAGGGAAGGTTGGGGCACTTTGGGGCATCACATGACCCGGGGCATCACCACGAGATGCTTTTGTCTCCACAGCCCCGAGACAGTCTCTAGGTTCTGTAAGAATTCCGCCAGGTCGTTGGTGGCCTTTTACCACAACGGCTCCCTGCCTTGTGACTGCCACCCTGCTGGGTCCATCAGCAGCCACTGCATCGCCGAGGGCGGGCAGTGTCCATGCCAGCCCAATGTCATTGGGCGGCGGTGTACCCGTTGTGCCTCGGGCTACTACGGATTCCCAGACTGCAAACGTAAGTGAGCATTCCCGGGCCTCGGGGGCTTCCAGACTACCGTGCTAGAGATGAAATGCAAGTGTTTATTCCGGGGTCCTGGGATGGGGCCCAGCTGACAGACAGCCCTGTTCCTGGTCAACAGACTCCATTGTAAGTAGTGAGGCTGGCGAAGATAAACCTGCAAAGCAGATGAATAAAGCCTTCAATGTACAGTCTTGGATAGTTCAGTCTCCTTCCTGACAGAAGCTCCTTCAGCTTTTGTACCCAACCAAAATTCCGTTGAGACAGGAGAGCCAGGGTCTCAGGGGTGTACTACTCACAGGATGGAAAATCTCATGCTTATATCTAAGACTATCCAGTGGCCCTAGGTGTGGTATTAGCCCATGTCATAGGGTGGCAGTGAGGAGCACAGGTGTGTAGCCTTTGCCTGGATGGCGGGGTGATGTCGCTACTGACCTGGGGCTGTGAACCTGCAGGGCACTGAGAGCCTGTGAGCGGCCCCTCCTGGCTTCCTTCTAGAACCTTCTTGAACCTTCTTGAACCTTCTTGAACCTTCCACACGAGAGTGACACATGACAGCAGCTGGGTGGGTTCCTGGGTATCTAGCTTGGATCCAGGGTCTGTGCACCAGATCTGCCAGGAGCGTTTGGTATGCTTGGTCTTGGCCCCAAGAAATGGGGCTGTTGGATCACCCATGTAGTCAAAATGTCCATAATGATGGGAGAGCCCTTGGAAGCTTCTGGAAATCTTGGCACTTGGTGCCGTTTGGCTAGCAGTCAGGCAGCGCCTAACGCTCACTCAGTTTCTCTTTGTCCCCTGGCCAGCATGCAACTGTGGCCAGCACCTTTGTGACGAGACAACAGGTCAGTGCCTGTGCCCTCCCAACACCGTCCAGCCCCAGTGTGAGGCCTGTGAGGTCGACTTCTACAGCTTCCACCCCATGGCCGGCTGTGAAAGCTGCGACTGCTCCCAGAACGGTACCCATAGCTCCATGAAGTGTGACCCAGTCACCGGGCAGTGCAGGTGAGCCAGGGTGGGCTCCACATCCAATCCTGCAAGGGGAAGGTGAAGTACCATGCAGACATCCACACGCTGGCCATTATTGCTTGCCACTTCCCATCTGCCCAGGGAGCACTGTCCAGCTTGGGCGGATCTTCCTGCAGAACAGGTCATGGTGGGTGGACTGAGTGGTCCCTGCAGTCAGGGAGGAACCTAGGTGCTGAATCACCCACAGACTCAGGACAGAACGCCCTTGCCTGCCTACTCCAGTGCACTGCCACTGCGGTCACGCACTCTGTGTGCCACATATAAAAGTAGAGGAGTGCTGTGCATGTGCAGTGAGGTTACCTACATCTTTCACTCCTGTGAGCTCCTGTCTGACTGTCTTTAGTTCAGCCTCCACCCTTGCTCCAGCAGGCAGCAAAGCTGAGCTCCTGGACCAACTGCCCTAACTCGGATGCTGACTCCTAGCAGGACTTGGTTGGGAATGGGAGGAGCAGGCGGGCACCTACTGGGGAGCCTGACCTGACGGGGAAGCTGCCCCGGGGACCACGGAGCTGTCCCCTGCACAGCATCTGTAGCATGAGAGCTAAGAGGTTAGTGTTCAGCAGGCCAGCTCTGATCTCAGCAGGGCTGGACAGGGCTGGAAGGACGAAGAACAGAACCTCGTCTCCTGCGAGAGGCTGCTAAGAGTTAGACTTGCAGGTGTCCTGCAGGAAGCCAGAGGCAGAGTCCTGGAGTCCAGCTGCCCTGGCATGTGTGACAGGCGGCAGAAGTGAAGGCGTCAGCAGGACGGGTTCTGTCTGAGGCTCTGAGGGAATCTGTCCCGGGCCTTTCTCTTAGTTCTCATGTTGCCGGGAATCCTCTGTAGGATGACTCGTAGCCATATCGATCCAGTCTCTTCCCATCCTCGCCTGCGGTTCTGGCTCTGTCTTCACATGGTGTTCCTGTTTCTATGCGCATCTGTCTCTTCTCACTTATAAGACACCAGTCATATCAGCTCAGGGCCCACTGTACTCCAGGGTGACATCTTGATCACACCTGCAAAGACTGTATTTCCATGTAAAGTTGCACTCTTGGGAACCACGAGTTAGAACTTCGACGAACCTTTCACAGTGGATTGGATTCAACTTTTTCTTGACGGTGGTCACTTTTCTAAGGAAGAACCCTTTACCCCACCTCCAGTTTGTGCCTGCTGCCTCCCAGCTCCTTCAGGCTGCCAGGACCTTGTAAGGAAGGGAGAGCAAAACCTGAGTCATGGCACATTGCAAGTCTTTTAAACCCCAGGGGTGAAGCCAGCCTGAGTCAACTCAGTTACCCACAAGCCAGGGCCGGGCCCCAGGTGTACCTATGCTTAACCACAGGAAGCAAAGGAGCGGAGAAGGGAAGGAGCAGTTTGCAGGCAGGGAGAGAAGCTTGAGAATTCACTGTCTAAGAAGTTATGGGAGAGAGTTTTAAAAGGAAACAGTGGATCAACAAAATAAATCCCTGAAAACTAAATTTCACAGTTTCTCAATGATGCTACCATGAGGGAAAAGAAAGAATACTTTAAAAATTTAAAATAAAGCTAGTTATAGTGGCTCACACCTTCAATCCCTGCTACTCAGGAGGCTGAGGCAGGAGGATCACAAATCAGAGACCAGCCTGGGCAACTTAGCAAAACCCTGTCTGACAATAGAATAAAAACGGCTGGGGATGTAGCTCATGGCAAAGCATTCTGTATCATGCGCAGGTCTTAGGTTCATTCCCCAGCACTGCAGGGAACATAGTTTAAGTAATTTAAGACAAAAGAATGTGGTAAATGGATTTACCATAGTATTTACTTTAGGAAAAATCCTGAGAAATTTTTAACAAGCCTTGCCTAGCTCACAAGTTTCATAGGCTGGAAGATTCCTAACTCCAGGACCATAGCATGTCATCAACAGGCTGTCAATGGGAATGGGGCTTTAGTCCCTGTGTCACACTTAAACCAAGATGTGAAGTTGTTCACTTTGACATTACAGAGAGACTGCAGTAACCTAGAGGGAGACATCTACCCGTGATCAAAGTGGATTCCTCATAAAAGGACCCTTGGCAGATAATGTTTAAAAAAAACCTTTCAGTTTACTACTGTAAATTGTACAAATTTCTCATGGTAATTCCAGTGTTACTATCAAAAAAGCTTTTGATTGCTTAAAATGATTATTTCTTTATAAAATATTAAAGGAGGGCTGGGGATTTAGCTCAGTGGTGCTGTGCCTGCCTTGAAAGTGCAAGGTCCTGAGTTCAATCCCTAGCACCAAAAAAAAAAAAAAAAAAATAGAGGAAAGACTACTTCCCAGCTTCCACCCTGGGAAATTTGCTAATGCAAATGAGAGATATGTTTAGAGAAACCTAAAGCTCATGTAAAAGAAATGGTCAGAGATACCTGGAATTTGCAGTAACAACAAACAACAACAAAAACAATATTCATTCTCAACTACACAAGACTGTCTCACAATTACACAAGTCATCACACATTGCAAAGCTTAAAAATCATAATTTTCAAGTTGTATTGCTTCAAGTTTTAAGGTTTACCATACTCACTAAAAGAAAATCAAATGGCTACAGATATTAATTCTAACAATGCACAGTAATCAATATTTATTTAATTGAAGCTGGTGTTGTAATTTTAGAGACAAATGGGACTATATTAGATCGGGACCATAAATCTGAGTTCTAGGTCCACCGTTATCATTGCCTTCACAGGAAATGGGGTAAGTCACTTTGCTTTCCTGGGCCTCGGTTTCCTAATGTAAAAAATGAAGTTTGATAAAATCATCTACAACTTCCTATCTAAATTTAAAATTCTCATCCTATTTCTTCTTCAATTTCTGATTATGTCAAGACAAATTGCAACAATTATACTGTGTAAATTATACAGTGTCTTATTTTGTCCAGCCCTGTGAAATTCATAAAGAAGCTTAGATTGTTTGAAATTTTATTTTTATAGAAAGACAAAATAGCAAATATATGTAATCCAATATAATAGCAATGAAAAAGTAAACTTGTATCTCCTTTTTTTTTCACGGTACTGGGTATTGAACTCAGGACCTTGCGCTTGCAAGGCAGGCATGGCACCACTGAGCTAAATCCCCAGCCCTAGTATCTCCTTTTAATAGTGGAAAATGTATGCATTCTTTGAGCACACAAAAGGACTAGAATAACCTCAAAAGATCTTGTCAATCTGTGCCACATATAAGGAAGCTGGGAATCACTGCTTTTAAAAACTGTCCTGATGTCAAACACTTTGAAGCTATGTTAAGATGGATGAAAGGAACTGGCTCTCTACATAAACACCCAGTAAAGCCACAAGTGCCACATGCCTTTTCAGATGACCTCTACCTCAACCCATCCTCATGGACTTGCTAAATGTGTGCAAGATGGAGAATACTAGGAAAGGCCACAGACTTGGCATTCTTGGGACAGAAATGCTTCCGGCCAGGCCTGACAGCTTGGAGAGGTGATTCCTCGGATGAACCTCATGAAATAATAGGAATGGGCCCACTGAGGCAGCATGCAGACGCTGGGACCTGGTAGTAGCCAGGGTAGACAAGGCTCACCATTCTCCCCTCCCCTCGCCCTGACTTCTTTTACCTCCTATGACCTAGCATCTCTCACTCAGCTTTGGAACGATCCTTCTTGGGTTGTTTCACCTGTTCTCTTTCTTCCCTCTGGCCCCAGACTGAGAGGCTGTGTGGTGTGAGATTTCAGGAGGTCGAATCCCCCTCAGCTGCTCACTGGCCGAGTGACCTCAGGAAAACTTCTGCTCTCCTCTCTGCCCGAGTGCTTTTGTAAGATAAGATACTAGAGACAGCTACCCCTTAAAGTCTTTGGAGCATTAAATGTTCCGTGCAAACAACCTTTGAACAGTGCCTGACACATACTAAACCCCTAGGAACATTAGCTGTGTTATTATCGGCTTAGACCACGCTTCTACCTTCCTCCCTCTGTGCTTTTCACCCTGAGAGCCCACCCGTTCCCTTGCCTTCAGCCCACCTCTCTTGGGTGATTCCCAGGTCTGTACTCCAGTCCTGGTCCTCACAGCTCTGTTGGCTCACCTTCATCACAAGTCAGTTAAACACTAGTTTTCTTATTGCCTTTACTTGGGTAGACTTGCACATCCCCTAAACTCTATGGGGTCCTATCTCCTCACATATAGAATGGAAAGTTAGATTGGGTGATCCTTAACTCCCTGATTCTGCATCTCTGACCTTATATCTGAAAATCTGGTTATTGTCTTTCAAGCCATTTTACCTTTCCGTTTTTAAAAAAGTTCTGCTTAATGACAATAGCCTCTTCTTAGTCCTCCAAATCTGAAATCTCAGAGAAAGCTATTTTCTCTCCAGCCCATGAGCTGTCAACTTCTGGCAAGGGATGTATTAGCTCCCTTCCTTCCACAGCTAAGAATAGAATGATATTGATGCTCTCTTAAGTTGACTTTCCTCTTCCTAGTCTTCCTAGTCTTTTTTGGTCCTTTAATCTAAGAGGAATATGCTAAACACACAATTATACTAGGATTTTAAGTTCTGTTTCCCCCTTAATTTTGTTACAAATAGGTACATGGTACTGTTAGTGTATAAAAGTAGAGGCGAAGTTGATAAATGCATATGCTTATGATTTTGTCTTCTTGATGTGTTGATTTTTTATTTTTCAGTGTCTTTTAAAATTTTTGTTAACACGTAATAATTGTACACATAGACACAATGTAATGTTTCAATTCATGTATAATGATCAATCAGGGTAATTAGCATATATATTATATTTTTATCATTTCTTTATGGTAAATACACTCAAAATCTTCTCTCCTAGCTATATAATGCGTTATTGTTTACTATACCCATCGTACTGTGTGATAGAACACCAGGATTTATTCCTCATACCTAGCTGTAATATTATACCCACTGACCAGCCTCTGTAATCTCTGCTAATCACTGTTCTACTCTTCTCTGTGATCAACTTTTTTAGTTCAACATATGAGTAAGATCATGTGGTACTTGTCTTCCTGTGCCCAACTTATTCCACTTAACACAGTGCCCTCCAGGTTCATCCTAGTTGAAAATAACCAGCTTTTGTCTTTGTTTATAGCTGAATAGTATTCCATCACATATATGTACTACATTTTCTTTATTCATTCATCCATTGATGGGCACTTGGGCTGATCCCATGTCTTGGCTATTGTGAATAATGTTGCAATGAACACCAGGGTACATCTCACTTTTTGATATACTTAGGGAATTGCTGGATTATATGGTAGTTCTATTTTTAACTTTTTGAGGAATCTCCATACTATTTTCCATAATGGCTATACATTTTTTTTGCACATGTATGTTTTTTAATTGGGATGAAACATATCTGTTTTTTATGAGCTTTTTGGTTTTGTCTTTGTATTTTGTCTTCAATTTTGTCAGATATCAATACATTTTATTGCTCAGACTGTTGCTAGCGCTCCTGTTTGGGTGCTGTACTTCATGCAGAAGGCACATGTGTCTGTGGGCTGGTAGGGAAGCTCTACTAACAGACAGCGTTAGTGCGATGTGGCGACCACCATATTGTGTGCAGGATGCCATGGTAACATGGTCCACACAACCTCACACCCACTACATCATTCTTTGCTCGAGAACCTTCCTCAACTCCCCATTGCCTGCTAGCATAAGGCCAACTTTCCATGGGACTCTGGCCCCCACCTACCCTAACTTCAGTCTCATTTCCTCTAAACACTTTTCACATAAGTTCAGTTCTCCAGTGTTGAAAGACCTCTCTCTTCCTTTCCCCCTACCCTCAAATTACACTTGTCCTTCAAGGATTTTGTGTTAGCAGAAAAACTCAAAGGAGGCTCTAAGCCTTCCACTAGCAATGAAGACATCCTCACCATTTATGCCTAATGCAGGCTTGGTGCTTAATCATCCCGTCTTTGATGCAATTACTTAACTTGCTATATTTCTAGGTCCCGTATCCTTAGACACAATGTGCTGAGGTCAAGCTGACTTACTCTTCCGTGTATTCTCCCTCCCACATCCCCAGACATAAGGGTGTGTATGTAGAAGACATACACAGTTCTTAGCTGGACAAGGTAGACTTGGGCTCTAGTTTAAAACTGGACTTTGATGTGAATGTACCGTGAAGGGACTCACAGTATTTAACAGCAAAAGGATGGAGTTCAGCCCAACACATCTGGGCCCACACATGGGTAGATGTCGTTACATAATGGGTAGCTGCAAGCCCAGGGCCTTGGAGACGACATTATTGACCATTCTGCAGCCCCAGGCAGCAGCATCTAATGGAATCTTCTTACTTTTGCAGCACAGGCAGCCTTGTGGGTAGTAAAATGTCTCCCTGGAGAAATGTGCAAGGTCAGGCTGACATTAGATCATTTTAAAAGATGTTCAGCCAGACTGTGAAGAGGAAGTTTTCTTTTTTTTTCTCCTGTTGTCATGGCACTACTGCAAGCTCCTTTGGTTGCTGGTTTTTGTACAGGATTCATAAGCTCAAAGATATAAACAGTACATGACTCAGGGTCTGGTTAGCCCTGGCCTCTCAGCCCCAGCTGGCTGCATAGGGAGCAGTTCTATGTTGCTCTCTTCCGTGCTGTGCTCCCAGCTGTCACTTGCGTGCTGTGAGGCCCAGAGCTGGGTCCTGTAGGACCGGTGTGGTTGCACCCTCTCTGCCCCTCTCCTTTCTACCACATCAGCTGGAAAGAATAGCAGACCCAGGGTGACTTTGCTTCCCTCCCATGTGCACAACATGCCTAGCAGCTTCTACAGCTGCCCTCGCTGCAACACCC